TTTATACGTGGCCTAAGACAAGTCATCTTCATCAGTGCACCCCAGGTAAGCCAGGAGGCTGGACACCAGGGAGTGCACTGAGCATCATTGAGTGTACACCACACTTGATGTTGTCACTTCACTCGTTCTGCATAACTGTCTACAAAGAAGGTCATCATCAGCCTTCTTCCAGCAGTGCAAAAAGACCTGGCAAGGTGTCCTGGGTCACATGCTGTCAGAAAACAGTACAACTAGGATTTAAGCTCAATTGTGTCTAAATGGATGTAATTCCTTACTATTCCTCCATAATAATCTGATGTAGGTTCAGTTATTATTCCAGAAATCCATTTCCAAATACCTTCGCATTCAAAAGTTTTGTTTTAAAGCAGAGAGGAAACACTGTAAATGAACTGAGCAACTTATCCTGATTTAAAGAAGAGACTGGGACAGGGATGGAAAACCTTTTAGAGCTTTCAATAATAACAAATAGCCCACTGTGGCATGTGTGCCATAGGTTCACCACCACTGGATGAGGGGTTAGTGGGGGAGAAACATTAATATCAACTCAAAACTCTTGGCACAGTTTAGTTGGTTTTGGTATGTATACTAGCTGACAAGTCAGGCTTACTTTTACTAAATAAAATGTAGGAATGGGGAGAACTAATTTCTTCTTTCTTTCTTTTGGTTTTTTTTTTGAGACAGGGTCTCACTATGCAGTTGAGACTGACCTGGAACTCACAATGTAGCCCAGGCTGGTTTTGAACTCGCAGTGATCCTCATGCCTCAGCCTGCCAAGTGCTGGGATTATAGGCGTGCACCACCACGCCCAGCTCAATTTCCACATTCTTAAACTATGTTCATTTTTATCTCAAACGCAAAACACCACTAATGGCAAATAACATAAAATGTAAAGCACAGCAATTTTATAAACAAAGCAAAACTTTAGTAATTTTTTAAAAATAAAAATAGACTAAGCTACTTACTAAATATTTACTCACTGGACAGGCTTGGGTATTACTATTTCACATTATAGATGTTTAAACTTGAAACCTTACAAAGAAAAATATAAACAATTCCAAAATAATACCAAAAGACACATATTTAAAGCTTTTAATTAAAAAACAACAACAGGTAAAATAAAAAGTGACATTTAAAAAGACAACACAGTATAATTAAATCATACTGGACTTTCCTTGTACTTGCTGTAGTGATTCTTATTCTTGGAAGTATTCTTTTTGGTGCTCATTCCTTCACAAGCAAAAATTACAAAAATAAACTTTTCTAACATAAAAAAATGTAGTAAGGGTCTCCTTGGGAGCTATAAACAATTGGTGCACTTTATCAGTGACAACACAAACATGTAAACCTGGTGAAGCAGAAACTGCCCCTGATTCTTACATGTTCATGCATGTGCTGATACAAACACAAGCACTTTACCTTGAAGACTCAAGAGAATTTCTCCAGTTTTGACCTGTGAAAAACTAACACTAGGACAAAACGCTGTCCCTAGTGAAGCATTCTCCGACTTTAAATACTAGCAACACAGTTGTGAAATGATTTGACTTAAGGTTTGACTATAATTCAATTCACGGGTATGCCAAATACTGGCTCCTTCTTTAAAAGGCATATGGCCCGTGTGTGTGTGCTATGTTGATTATTTTCTAAACTTCTGAAATAGTCATCATAAAAGATTTGATCTTGTGGGAGCCCGCTGGCATTTGACATTGGAAAAGTAACTTCTACCATTGAGGCATTGACACAATCTATGACTCTATTTGGCTTTTCTGAGATGAGGGTCTCAGCTATGCAGATGAGATTGACCTGGAGCTCTCTGTGTAATCCAGGCTAAGCTCACTGTGTAATCCAGGCTGGGTTTATGGGATTACGGGTGTCGACCTGGAGCTCACTGTAATCCAAACTAGTTTTATGGGATTATGGGCGTGCACCACCACGCCTGGCAAACAATACCACTGGACTCGTCAGGTTGAGTGGGGCCTTCGCCTTTACATCAGCGGCCGTGATCCGGGTCTCACCTTTTCCATCAGGCTTTTGAAAGAACCACCTCAGTTCAAACCCATTGCCATTGGCCCCAACCCCCTTCTTTAAGAATGTTGCTTTTTTAAAGATAAACTGGGCCTGGTGGATGATAGCATTAGAAGGGTTGAGGAAAGCCTCGAACAAAGGCAGAAGCAACGGGAAAAGGACGAATCTTGGTATCAAAATTGGTTTTCCCCTTGCCCCGCTTGCCCCTGGAGATTGTTAAGTTAAAGATTGCATAGGGTTAATTGTTGATGTACGCCTTCCCACTTACCCCTCCCCACATTTGGTAAAATACTGATTGCTGTATGCTGATAAATGCTTTGTCCCTTTATGGTTAAATGCTTGAGTGACTCATGTGATTGGTAGAAGATTTGTTTGAACTGTCCAATAAGCTTGCTGAACCTTCCCCCTGGGATAACAGTATATAATCGTTTTGCTGAGCCAATAAAGAGCCTTTGATCAGAAATCAGACTTGGGCCATGTGCTCTAACTTCTTAAAGATTTCCTTCACAGACATTCAAGATCGGATCGGCCTCTGATGACCCACGAATAAGATCTAAACCATAGAACTGAGTTCTGCCTCCGCAGGGATCCCCCGTTCTCTATCACTCTTGTCACTAAAGCCTGGTTTTTTGTACTACGCAGGAGCTTGCATTAGAGACAGAAAGAGAAAGGCAAAAATGAAAGAGGAATATGAAAAAAAAAGGTTAATATAAGAAAGGTTGTCTACATTCTAATAAAGAGAAGATAATGATGTGTCTTCCTATGAAATACGACATATTTCTGAATTCAATATATTTCTGAGTTGGTCCTGACATCACATTCATTTTGGTTTACCAAACACACGCCATTTACATTTTATGAATAAATATCAGGCAATATTTAAATGTAAACCTAAATTTGAACAAATGCTGTCCCGCTTGCAGGGTGGATCAGAATGATCATTCAGTTAGTAGATGGTTATTTTGTGATCAATCACTGTAAATTATAATATGAACAGCTTTGTGTAATTTGACTTCCTTATTATTGCTTATGAACATTATAGTCACAATAAGAGAAAATACTCTTAAACCTCTCTATGTCTGTATAAATATCCATTTCAAAACCAAATTCAGCAAAAGTACAACTATTTGCAATACAAGGGCTAATATGAAAGAGATTTCATGTAAATAATATTTACAGCATTATTCCCCAAATGCTAAATTGTCATTTTGGAAGTTGAAGAAAACCTCAAAACAATTTCATAGCTACTTAACTTTTTAAATATTAGGATTTTCAATGAAAATCATCTTAGATTTGTACTGGAGGAAAAATGACAAGAAAAATGGCATCTCTGGTGACCCCATTGTTGGAAGTTCAATCTCCATGCATACAAAATTACCATCACATTTTGCTATTAGAAAGTGTTCTTTCATTCTCCAGTGGAACTCCATAGTAGTATACATGAAACAGAATTTTAGAATAAATGAAAAGAGAGTAGAGGGAGAAAAAAGGGGAGGAGAGGAGAGAAAGTAAGAGAGAGCAAGAGAGGAGAAGAGGGCAGGACAGTAGGAGAGGAGACAACCAGCTCCTGTTTTCCTAATACGGGTTCAATGCAGCATATGGGGCTATAATACAACCAACCTCTAGCAAACTTCAGACCACAAATTACATGTTTTAAAAGTCAGTGGAATTAAAATTTGTGTATCCCATTTTTAAAAAAGGTGTTTGCTGGAGGTGCCCAAGGCCAAGAAAATAATGACTCATGGTAATATCCTAGCTATAGAAAATAATAAGCTATCATGTAAAGGTACAAGGTCCCAATGGTAGATGTAACTGTACTGTTTGCTTTAAATGTACCAATAAACTTAAGGGGTGGGGGAGAAAGAAAATAATAAGCATTTTCAGGTAGAAGGAGTTGGAAAATTTTTGCAACAAACTTACCTAAAGTTTCAGGACACAGAAGAGGAATTCCACAGTGGAAAATTACAGCAGGACCTAAAGCATCATATTGCTCATGATTCATCATTCTAGAATGTTCTAGAGTTCTATCATTGACGTTTGATGGTAAGCTTGCCTGCATATTCAGTATGAGTAACCCTAGCTCTCATTTTTTAAAAAAAATTGCTGTATTTGCAGTCTTTACATCAGATTCCAAGTCTTTGGATTCACCAAAGGATGGAAGGAACTTCTTTAGGTCAGAGAACCAACAATAAATCTGAGTGACATCTGTGGGTTTACTGGCCATTCTGAACAGGTAGAGAGAAAACTCTGTTCACACTCTGGCTTTCACTAAAACTCTATTTGCGAATATGTAAGATACATTTTCTTGCAACAAAAGACAACTCAATAATTGCTCTATATCCTCTGTGCCTATATCATGGATGCAAGGTCAAGAATAAAAGATATAAAATAATGAATGATGTCATTGCTGGCAGTGAAATAAGAAAACAAAAGAGAAAAAAACAAGAGTTTCACATCATAATGATAGTTTCATTAACAAAAATAACCAACCGCAGGCCACCCCAAATGATCAAAAGAAAAGTATGGGTTACTACCCTAACATTTTAGATTTAAATTTGTAACAACCATAATTGTGCCATATACTAACATTGGCTGATATTTATACATTTCTTTGTAGTGCTGAGATTTTCATATACTTACTTTTTTCAGAGCAAGACATTTTCTCTAATATAGCACCTATGATAAATATCCTAGCGTATTCTTATATAGAGGGTACTACTATATTTATGTTAACAAAATCATATTTTTTATTTTTTACATTCAGATTGCTTTTAATATATAATGAAACACATCAATATCTTCAATTCCAAAAATTTTTCTGTAAAATAGGATGCATCTTATACAGACCTTATAGAAAAGTACTAATACTCCTGTAATTCCAGCACTCAGGAGGCTGAGGCAAGACTGCTACAAGTTCAAGGCCAGCCTGAACTATATGGCAAGACCCTATGTCAAAGAACCAAAGAAAGAGGGGGAGAAGGAGGGAGGAAGGAAAGCAGAAAGAAAGAAAGAAAGGCAAAAAAAATGAAAAAAGCAAAGCAATGATAGTGTGTTCAGTTTTTTATGTTACAATTTCTTTATTTACCTAATGGAGATGACTGAGATCCCTACTAAGTTCACTGGGCTGTTGGAAACATCAAAGAGGTCATTTATGCAAAAGTTATTTGAGATAAACAAAGTATGCAAAATGCCCCTATGTTGATACCAATCTTCTGAGCAACCAGGGATTAAATCAGGTCCCTCTGGGGAATAGAATATAGAACTTCCTCTTCTGTCTCTAGGTGATAAGACCTGCAAAGTTTCTTGGCTAACAGTTGAGTAACCCTAGAAGAAAGAGACCTTTCTAAGGCTGGTAAGAAGTTGGATTTTCTTGGTAATGGAATTAGCTGCACTATTTACTTTGAACACATTAAATCTGAAGCTGGTCTTTGATTGATTTTTACCCACTGCCTAAGAGTTCAAAGAAGAGAAATAATCACACATAGTGAGGACTTACGGGATCAAGTGTTTTTGTCTGAGGACAAATAAAATCACATCTCTTTGCTAAAGAAATTCCTTGGGCTTGATAAAATTATTGAAGTTTCCTTTCAGATGTTTTTGTTGCATAGAAATTTCTTAGGATTTAGTCCTTTTCAAATCTAAAACAATTTTCTTTAGAAATGCCCTCGGATCCATGCTTCATCTTTTAACACTGTCCAATTAGCTGAATCTGAATGCTTCTCCCCAAGATACTGTAAGTAAAGCACTGTACACATCATCATCTCGTCAAACTTTTAGTCCCCTACATAAAAAAAAAATAATAATAATATCAGGGTAGCGACCTACTTTTAGTGAAACTGCCTGTTTTAAATAAGTGTTATAATAAGAAATACAGAGGTAGCCGGGAAAAGGAGGCTAGAAGGAAATACAGTAAAATACAGGTTGGTAGAAGTATGATTGATCTGATCTTGATTTTGGTCCACTGACTAAAATGTACTGATTTTAAAACAAGGGTGTGAGGGAGTCAATTGTATAGAAAGAGTCTCAGGAATGCCAGATAAATATAACACCCGAAGGCCCTCAAAACTTCTTTGTCACTGTGAGCTTATCCTGCTGGAGCAATGTTAAATGCATAATTATAGGTTATTTTATTCTTTGCCAAAACAGAAATAAGTAAGATTTTAGAAAAAAATTAAAGAAAGGCATATTCTCCTTTAGGGGCAACTCATTTAGCACAATTTAACAAGGCTTTTCAAACTCAATAGCCATGGAGCACGACTAAATATTCACACAAAGAAGATCCAGGCAGCATAAAAACTAATGTTTCCTGGGTCACAAGACGTCTAATTGGCTTCAACAAGACAACATACTCAGCGTCTGTGGTTCGGTCCCACATGGATGATGACGTGTTTCTCATAGGCCCTTCTCATTGTTTTCTCAATTTGCTTCAGGAAAACTTGTGGGATTCGTCCACAAAGAGTGTGCACAGTTTCCAAAAACTTCAGCTGGAGAGGGTAATACATGGATTGAAAGAGATTGTCTTGAAAGGGAAACTGTATGATGAATAAAAAAAGAGAGAGAGAGAGAGAGAGAGAGAGAGAGAGAGAGAGAAAGCTTATTTTCCTCATTGAAATGGCATTCAAAACACACATCACTTTTACTAAAGAAGAACATAAGGGCTAATGTCAAGCAGGCAGGCATGGGTTTGCATGAGCTAAGGAAAGCATTTCCAAGAACCTAAATTCAGAAGTTTACTTAGCTGTGCAGTCCCACACAATCATTTAACCTCTCTGGACCTCAATTTCTTTGAGGCTTAAAAAAAAAAAGAAAGATGATGCATTTGGGTCCTAAAAGTTCTTAAGATCTAAAGATAATGTATACCTCTAAGGTCAAGACAATCTAAATAGAGCATGCCATTCTGAGTAGAAGCAAAACTCAACTAGATACTCACTTGACATTTGCTACGACAAAACAGTAAATTCTTTCTTTTAAAAAATTTATTTGCTGTGCTGGGGATGGAATCCAGAGTCCCAGGAATGCCAAGAGAAAAACTTCTTTCTATTTTTCTGCCACCGAAGAACCTTCAGGGTATGTCTATGGTAATCTCACAAAGTCCAGACTTTAGCAATTACTAGTTAAATTCATTGGAAATGAGTGTTATTTTAGTAATTCTGGTACCAATTTTTGTTTTGTTTAGAGAGACAGGGTCTTGCTATGTAGTTCAGGATGGCCTTGAAATCACTATGTAGCCTAGGCTGGCCTCAAACTCACCATGATCTTCCTGCCTCATCCTCCTGAGTGCTGGGATTACAGGCATGCACTACCAAGCCCAGCTTGGTGCCAAATATACTCCACCCCGCCCCCATAACACTGGATATTTGTGCTGTTTTTTGTTTAACTCTCTTCTTTTCCCATGGGTTATGCTCATGAGCCCTATTTTCCAAAATCAATTCCTTTGCCTGGTTAGCCACAAGCACATGTCAAAGTTTATCACCTCTTGGGAAAAGGCCACGAGTAAATCAAATCAAAGATTCATTTTTGGCTAAGACATTTTACAAAGACCAGAAAGAAAAACAAAAAAACAAAACAATACTTAAAAAAGCAGGACCCTCCAGCCTGACAGCAGAGTGGGTAGGTATCTAATTCCCTATAGTAAGTCTTAGTACCTTTAAAGTTCATCAGTTGTTTCAGGACATTTAACAGAAACGCAAATTTCTTCCCAGACAACATTATGGGATATAATAAAGTTCTATCGCAGACCAGGAGTGGGACACTTTTTTCCTAGCACAATCTACTCCTTGAAGCCAGGCCTAAACCCCTATGTCTCCAGCCAATGGAGCAGAATGGGTGGGAACAATGGAGTCAACTTCTTTCCTTTTCCCCACACCCAGCCCATGAGCAAGTCCTTCAAATTCTTGGACCACCTGACCAGAACATGCCCCCCTCCCCATCTTCCCAGCCCATTTCTCGCCAGCACTGCTGCAGTCAGTCTGACGAACTGCCTCTGGGCTTCCCTCTCGCAGCCCTCCTGCTAAGTTATGAAGGGGAAATTTTTCAAGCATAAATCAGAGCCTGTTACTTCCTGCGGGGGATTCCCATTGTGATCAGAACGAGTCCAACTCCTCTCTTGTTTTGAAGCCTCCCCTTGCTTCTCCCATTTCCTAGCCAGCCATTCCAGTCATGGTGGCCTCCACCCTGTCATTTGGACACACCAAATTCACTCCTCCTCGAGAACTTTCCCCTAGTTATTTCTTCTGCTTCCATGACCTTCCTGGGTTTCCCCATGGCTAACTCCAGCTGACCAAGTCCTTGGCCTTCAGAGGCCTTTCCTGACGGCCCGACTATAGGGACATGAGCACTCCTGGCCACCGCAGGACTCTAGATCCACCGTCCTGCTTGTCTTACTCCTTCTTTCACTCTCTGGCAGGATTTTCACTTTTCTTTGTTTATGAGCATCAGCTGACTTCCCCCTTCAGAATATACTCATATGCTTCATTTTGAGAGAACGGGATTTGAAGCTAGGCCTATCTAGGCTCACAGCCAGGCTCTGACCATGACGCAAGGACTAAAAAAATGGGGAAACATCTTTCCTGATGAATCTCCTTGTACTCACTCACCTTTCAACTTGGGAATGGTGATTTTCCTGATTGAAAAATGTCTTTTTAGGCCCATCTGAGGAATACTGAGTGATTAAGCAGAATCATGTAAAAATCAAAGTTATTTGACCCTCGTTCTGATCTCCCAGAAGACAACATGAGTTGTAACGGAAGAACCACAATTGCTCAATTCCAAACTAGGGCTGACACATCACAAAAGAAAGCGGAGAGTGTCTCTGATACACATGCAACTGCTGCACACTTACTTGCCTTCCCCTTGTATGCTTGAATGGATTTCCCCTGGGCTCAGTGCTTTAATATCTAAATGTGAGAACATCGCTGAGTGCAGAACAAATATCCTACGTAATCTAATCACCTAGGCTTTAAAAACCAAACGGCGCAAAATAAAAGAGGAAAGGAACTGCCAGCTTAGATGTGTGCTATGCTCTGTACCTGCACAGAAGACAACTCTGGGATTTCCAGAGTTGCAATTCCCTGGGACTCTCCCTAGGAAACGCATGCGAAATGTGTTAGTACATCAAGGCGTTCACCCAACACCTCCCTCCTGCCAAAGCCTGGCTGTGAACCCCAGAGGGGTCCTAGATACTTAAGAAAAAAGTCTCAAATGAAGTCCATACTTTATGTTAGGGTCGGCAACTTTTTTTTTCGTAAAGGGGCCCAGTCTAAGTGCAGTGTTTTACACTTTGCGAACTCTACAGTCTCTATAATAGTCATTTCTGCTATCACGACACCAAAGCAGCCAGAACAATACATGAATAAATGTGTTCCACTGTGTCCTAACAGGACTTTATTCATGAGTGCTGAAATTTGTATTTTATATCATTTTCTTTATTTTTAATTTTTTTTAAATTTTTTGGTTTTTTGAGACAGGGTCTCACTATGTAGTTGAGACTGACCTGGAACTCACTATGTAGCCCAGGCTGGTCTCGAACTCACAGCGATCCTCCTGCCTCAGCCTCCCGCGTGCTGGGATTACAGGCGTGCACCACCAAGCCCGGCAATATATCATTTTTTCATGTCTAAAATATTATTCTTCTTTTAAGTTTTTCCTATTTATATAAAAATATAAAAACTATTGATTTTGTACTAAAGCCTTGAGCTTTCCAGGCAGGTGTTGTGCTGCTGAGCTACACTCCTGGCCCTAGAATTATAACTTCAGGAGAGTGATCACTGAAATTGTGTGCTCTTGTTTTCCCTTAGCAATCTCAAGGGAAGGCGAAAGTATAGTTTTTCCCAAAGTGTGGGAGGCAAAGGCTTCAGAGGTAACACTCGACGTGACATTAGTTTGTAAACCAAAGTAAGGTTCTTTCAACCTTCCCACCTACTGCAAGACAGTTCACATGTCTCTAACTCCTCCTTGCTACTTGCTGATCAATTTCTTCAAGGAAGTAAGGGGGGCCTGAGGTTCTCAGTGCCACTCTCTTACTCATTGCCAAGATTTTACCCAATAGCTCCCCGCCTCCACCCCTGGGGGATACATTCCCAGACTCTGGGTGGATACCTGAAACCAAGGACAGAACTGAATCCTAAGGATCTGATACCCTAAGCTACACCTGACAAAGGAATGGCTCACATCCTAGGAAGGACGGAACAGTGGCATGAGATTTCATCCAGCTACTCAGAGGAGCACACATTGAAAACTCATCGCATGTTTATTTCTGGAATTTTCTATGTAGTATTTTTGGACTGTGGTTGGCCCTGCTAATTGAACCCAGAGAAAGCAAACACGGATAAGGGGGTGTCATGGTATGTGATTGTTCAGACCCAACAATGAACTGTTATGGGCCTTGCCTGGCAGGTCTTGGGGGTTAGCTGTCCTCCCCAGGTCGCATTTGGTGACTAGCCAGTGTAGTGCAGTTTTTTCAAGGGGGTTGCAAATGAGGACACAGACCTCCTGCCCCACACCAGCCACCATCAAAGGCTCCTCCAGCCCGCGCTCTTCCATTATAAGTACTTTTCTCCACTGTAACTCAGCACCTATCTGCTCCTACTCCTTTCTGCTCCCCCAACCCCAGCCTTAACACATGGGTCATAAGGACGCAGTGGTCTTTCGCTCGTAGCCTGGATGGAATAAAAAAGGAGAGGAGGAGGAGGAAGTTTCACTTTTGCTTCTTTGGAGGAGCTCCGGTCTCCAGCATCGCCTCTGGATGTCCATCCTCAGGCTTCAGCCCAGACCCTCGGCTTTCCCATAGGAACAGAGAACCGCACTGAGCTCCAGGCCCGCGACCTTTGACTAGATCCCAGGTTCTCCAGTGTGCAGACGGCCCTTTTGCACTCCTCCACCCCTGACTGCAAGCAACCACTGTGAGGCTGCCTTGTAAGATTGTATATACCCTTTCACCCTTCGGGAACTCCAACTGATCAAACTGAGGAGCAGAGCCTGTTTTTGTCTCATGCCTGCGCTGCAGCAGTTACACAAATAGAGGCTTGCTCACTATTTTCAGTTTGGCTCCTTGATCTAATTGGCCACCCTGACACTTGTTTGCTTGAGGGTTTGGGAGCTGGCAACCAGGCAGCATCTTTATCTTGAACAGAATAATTTTGTTTTTATTGTGCTTGATTCTAGTGTTACCTCCTACTATGGCGAATGACACAGGAGTTATCTTTCTGGTGAGATTTCCTCCAATTATTTAGATGAAAAATAACGAGAGACTGGTATGGAAATAGTAAGAGTGGATTTGCACTGGGGATGATGACATGTGCGTATAATCCCAACACTTGGGAGGTCGAGGCAGGAGGGTTGTCAATTCAAGACTGGTCTGGGCTATGTAGCGAGACCCTGGTTCAAAAAACTCAAACCCAAACCAAACCAAGCCAAAACCCAAACAAAAAGGGTAGATGTGGGACAGCATTAGGTTCAAGTGGCCCTAGAGACAACAACACAGGGTAACTGATGGTAGGCAAACTGGCATAACTTAAGGCTTTGGGGATATTTGGTCTTCAAAAGGCATGATGACCAAAGTGTCCGTACTGCTTTAAGCTGGTTAGCACATGTCTGAGAATGGTGGCAAGAGCACACTTACATCCCGAATGGCCTCATAGAGCGCCCTGAAGGATGGCTGCTTGTCATCGTGGTACACGCCCCGGTTCCCATGCAGGACAGACACGCCCTCTCGCTCAGCCTCCTTGCAGTTGCTCCCATACATGCAGTGATCAGGACGGTAGTTCCACTGGCAGGGGAATACGTAGAGACACTCTGAGGGTGACAAGAGAAAGACAGTCACAGTCAGTGCTAGCTCTCATCTGCATGTTGGGTAAAGATGCTTAATGTCCCTTCTGTACGTGATTCCAGGGCATAGGAGTGTGTGACTCAGACCAAACAACACCATTTTTGTTAAAATCCTGAGATCAAAGACAAAAGGGGACAAAAGGTGATCAGAATATAATATGTGTGTGCACATATGTGTGTATATGTGTGTTTATGTCTTTAAACAAGTGCTTCTTTTCTTTTGGACTAAATACTGAACCCAGGGCCCTTGCACTGAGCTATATTCCAAGAGCTCTTTTAAGATAGGGTCTTGCTAAGTTACAAAGTTGCACAGGCTGGGCTCAAATTTGTGATCCTCCAGCCTCAGCTTCCCAAGGTACTGGGACTACAGGCGTGTTCTTAACCTGGGATGATTCCACCCCCACCCCCATAGTATCCCTGATGACCTTTAGTAATATTTTAAGGGAGAAACTGTTGGTTATTGGTTGTTACATATGTGGAAAGCTGGTACTGGCATTGGGCGAGCCCTCTAAACCTCCTACAGGGGCCAGGGATGCTCTCCACACCCCACAATGAACAGGAAAGCCCTCCATGATAGTTGTACTGAGACAACCCTGCTTAATCCTCCTGGACTCAGAAAAATTCCCCTTGCTGACTAGGATTATACAATTAGCAATAAATTCACTCCCAGCTTCCTGGGACCAGAGGAGACTGGATCAAAGCTCTCTGCAAATGTGTCACTGATCATAAGGAAGATCCCATCAGAGAGCACAGGGTGATCACAGCAAATCAATCACACTGTTGGAAACACTGCTTCAAGATGCACTTGTCTGCAGGGTTGCAGGCTTGCAGAAAGCTTCGGATGAAAAGCAAAGAGAGACGAGATCATCATATCTCCCCATAGACTGTATATGATGTTTCTGTGGTTCATTCTCTCACTAACCCAAGGTATCCAGGTCCCCTCTATCAAATCCTAATTGCTCACAACACACCAAGACTTTCCTCTTCTTGCAGGGACTCCATTCCACCACACTTTTCTTACACATACAGAGAGAGGCGGTCATCCTCAAATCACAATAGCTAAATTGGAATCTAACTGCTCTACTAGCTGTGTGGCCTTTCTCCACATTAGTACAGAGGATGGAAAGAAGAACTAAGAGAAATGGAAATAACTAAAAATGCTTTAGAATTGTGCCTGACATAACCCAGTTGTTGCCTTTGGTAACCCAATGGGTCAGAGCACTCCTTTACGATATCCACCTGGACACCTGCAAAATTTCCCAGCCAAGTGAACTGTCCTAGAACTGATCTCTGTTTTAAAAATTACACTAATTGATGGGAATGAAACCATTTATTGAGTGCCTTTTATGTGTACTGTGGACAAAGCAAATCATGGAAAAGTCCACTCCTTGCCTTTATGAAGCTTAAGGCCCGATAATGAAAGCTTTTGTCTCTTCCCAAGTTTTTTAGGATTCTACTACAGGAGGCAATAATTTCTCTCTCTGCAACATCCCTCAAGGACTGAGCCTGGGAAAGGACACTCAATAGCAGAAGACAAAGTGGAAATGGTTAATCCAAGTGTGGTGGCACACAATTGTAATCCCAGCACTCGGGAGGCTGAGGCAGGAGGATTGCTGTGAGTTTGAGACCAGCCTGGGCTACATAGTGAGTTCTAGGGCAGTCTGAACTACATAGTGAGACCCTGTCTCGAAAACAAACAAACAAAAATGAAGTGGAAATGGCTTGAGCATTGGAATCAAACAAAATATAGGTTCTAAATTAGTATCTACCCCTTGGTGAGTTCCTGAAACATTTGGCCCAGGTTGAGAAGCCGTAAAGAAGGCAAATTCTCCAAACCTGAACCCCATCTTCCCCCTGTGTTAGTTGTGATCCAACAGCAAGAGGGCCAAGAAAGCCAGCACTGGAGTCCACCTGTTGGGTTTGGACACGACACAGAACTCGGCCACTAGTGGAATCAATTCAAATTAACATAGTTTTTCTGCATCCCAGTTCCATCATCTATATAATGGGAAGAATCAAACGTATTCACTGTTCATCGGATCTAAGGAAGTTCATTTACGTACATACTAGGAAGAGCCTGACATATGGAAAGCACAGAATGTAAGCGATGATAATCATTATTACTACACTTACAGTTACAAGACTATTGTGTTAGGTTGCTGGAAGGATACAAGATAATTTACACAGAACGGGCCTACCAGTTTCCAATATATAAGCTTTCTGAGATAAATGTTTGCTCTGATTGCTTCCAGACATGTAGGTAGCCAGTCACTCTGGGCTTTTTATGGGTCACAGATCTCTTTGAGAAGCTAGTAAAAACTTTAGACCTTGACTTTGGAAAATTACTATTGGGAACATATAAAGACCTGTAAAGAACATTTGCTTACAAGTTCAGGGATTTATAGGTTCTCTAAAGGCCAGCTGAGAACTTCAGGTGTTGAATCTCAAGTATGAAATACAATTCAAGACAGAATTCATTTCACATTTTCACACTCCCTTCTAAATTTCCCACAGCAAGAAATGCAAACTGTATAGAACACGTAATCAAAACAAGTATTTGTTCACCACATTACTGCCAGGCATTGGTGTCTCAGGATGATAAGGGGCTGCTCCAGCCCTCAGGGGATTTATGCTTTTATAAGGGAGAAGGTATGAAGTGTGGCCAAAATGGACGTGTATTATCAGGCTCGTAGAAAGGAGAGTTCATTACGGGAGGTGAGATGAAAGGATGTCTCAGTAAAATTTTATTTAAATTCCAGGTTTTAGTAAGGCTGGGATTCTGACAGAAGCAGAAACATGAAAGAATATCCGGGGAGGAGAAAATAGCCTGATCATAGTAAAACGTTTGGAAATTGCAGTGCCATTTAGAAAAGATAAACTTAGTTTTGAAGGCAAAGGCAATCTCTTCAAAGTGTTCAAAGGAGGAGGACAATAGTGTAAAAGTTGACATATATTTTTAAAAAAACAAAAAAGAAAACCAGTTCAAACTGCAAAAAAAAAAAAAAGTTGACATATATTACTTTGACTTAAAATACTCAAAATATAGAAATCTCTATTAGGTGGCAAGTAGTTAACTTTGGTTCTAGGCTGTGAAGAAAAAAAAAAAAATCAGTTTTTCTCTTTTGAAAGAAGATAGGAAGGTCAGAAAATCGGAAGTACAACTGCGTAAGGGCAGGAAGCAGGGCAGCTCCAGGGCCCTGGGGACGGGACCCACTGCGGTCAACTTTTCCAGGCTGCACCCTGGATGGACCACCCTTGAAGTCCACTTCCTGCTCCTGAACTCCCAGATCTAAACTTCCGGGAGACAGTCTGACTGGTTTAGCAGGGGTCATGGGAGGGCAGGGCTCTGAGGCTGCATGCAGTGGGGGAAGGGTAATTTCCCTGAGGACAATGGGTGCTCCTAGTGAAAGGCAGGAAAGCCAACAATGCACAACTAAACTACCTGATCTGTTTTTAATCCGCAGATAAGCTCAGAAATCCTCTTTTTATGATAGGGGCCAAGGAGCAGGGAGGGGCATCAGAGAGCAGGGTTGAAGGTGGAAACCTACATAGATCAGCTAATGAACACGAAAGAGGCCAAATGGGGGTTATTTGGCATCTATCAGTGAATTTGTTCTGAAATGGATCTATTTTAAGCACAATTTACCAGGGCTGTTAAAGCTTGCTGTTTATTTTTATTTTACTGTATTTGTTTATTTTTTATTGTTTTTCCAGACAGGGTTTTGCTATGTAGTTCAGACTCACCTCGAACTCACTGCAGTCTTCCTGCCTCAGCTGCCAGATGGGATTATGGGCAGGTATGCATCACCATATCTGGCTAAAACTGCTAACTGCTGTTCAAAAAGAGATAGCATCTGGGCATGGTGGCACACACCTGTAATCCCAGCACTTGGAACGGTGAGGCAGGACAATCCCTGCAGAGCAAATTGAACTACATAGTGAGTTCAAGGTCAACCATGAAGCAGGTCCTAGTCTCAAAAAAGAAAAAAGGCTAGCCATGGAATTTTTCCAGTTGTCTTACTGCTGATGAAATAATGCAACAGATGGATTCTCAATCCCCCCAAAAAAACAACTACAATTTCTTTAAAAAATTTCAAGCCAACCTATTTTGAGGCCTTTGGTCTTTGTTATTTTTCTTCTGGTTGTAAATAAAGAAACGCATTAGTTGACTACTTGTGTGTCTGAATCCCTTAGTGAGAACTGTAGTGGTCTACGTTCATTTCTGGAGCCTGCTAGCTACCTGTAGCGTACTGTGTGAATTCATTGCTCCTTGCCTTTCTGATCATTTCACACCCTTGGCATCTCTGAGATTAAGGAACAGCTAGTTTATACCTGTTAATTTTAACTTCATGGTTGTCACTCACTATACTTTGTGTCAACAGAATGGAGGCTATTTGATTGCGCTGTGAACAATTTTTTAATGTCCTATAATGATTAATCCTGACTGTCAACCTGACCCAAGAATGGAGAAAGCACACTTCTACGTGTGTCTGCAAGGGTGCTTCCAGAGATAAATGGCTGGCAAATGACATTTCTGCCTCACCACAGACCTAAATTAATGGAGCAAGCTGACCACACACTGAAAGCAGGAGCCATAATAACCCTTTCCACCCCTGACTTGACTTTCTTAGGTACTTTGCTACATGGAGAGCTGACTAACATGTTCTGTCTCAGAACAGAGCTTTCCCAGAATTTTCTCCCTCCTTCCAGAGTGCACCTTGTTCCTTCAAAATGGCAATTCATTCTTCCAAGAAGATTTTCCCTATTGCAAAGTCTTCTCTCCCTTTGGTCTGGAAGATCTCTTTCTCAGCTCTTCATTTATTTCCTTCATATTGCCATTATCATAATTTGTGATTCTGAATGAAAAGTCCTATGATTGGGTGTCTACTTCCTCTAATAAAAAGTAGGTTTCATCAACAAAGGAACTTTATCCTGCCTGCCACTACAGTCCCAGCATCTAGTCCTGTCAGCTGGTACACAGTAGGTTTTCAGAAAATATCTGCAGAATGAATGAAATGACTCTTATGTCTTCCTCTGCCATGTGTGTACCTCTGTCCTTTCCTTTGCCTTCTACTCCTTTCTGTCCCTACTTTCCTTTCCTTTCCTTTTCCTCCCTATGGTCCCTTTTTCTTCTCATTTACTTCACCTCTCTTCATTTATTGTTTTAATTCCATTCATTCAACCAATGCTTCTGAAGACAAACTTCATTTAGGTGCTAAATGTGAAAGACATGAATGAAGCAGATGTCACCCCTCCACTCAGACCCTTCCATTTCCACTCTGCTTTTCTGTGCTTTATGTCAGAGCTCCTGAACTTCCCAGAATCCCCTACTTGTGATTTGCCACCAATTTCCTAGAATAGTCCTAATGTGAAGTAATTGGGCCTGTCATCCCCACAGCATGGCCTCACAATCCCCTGACACTGAGTGCTTCTGTTGTGGTGAAAGTACAATTTGGTTGCACACCCAAGGCCAGGGTGCCAACGGTCCTGAGAAGGATAAGAACAAGGCCATCACAAAGGCCACTGCAGACTTGTTCCACACGACTGTGGGGTCTGCTGCCGGAGGACCCTGCCTCTTCTCTCTGTCCCCAGACAGAACTCTACTGCCTCTACTCTACCTTCCTATCTCTACTTATCTGGCTTCATTTTCTTCCCTTCCCACAGCCCAGTTTTCTAGAAATGCCTCTGAAAAAGAAGCATGTGTTCATTTCTGAGAGAAGAAAGTTTGAATAACATTGCCCCTCTGGTCCCTTATGTCTGGTTATCCATGGTGGGCTTCAGAGCTGTGCTGGGCTGGGCCTGCAGGTCTGTCTTTCTCTTTCTCAAGAATGTGAGTTAGGAAACATAAGAGAACTATTATTGTTGGCTGTGGACTTGTACAGTTGTAGTGACTTGGTATTGATCATTGGGTTGGGCCCTGGGCAAAGATGGAGAATGCTGAAAGAGTGGAATCAGTCATTAAGAGAAGCAAAGAAGACAGAACCACGATGTCTCTGAAGGCTGGAGAAACAACTTTGGTCCTGTGTAGCTTCCCACAGCCAGCTGTCACAAAAGCTGGCTTGACCTGATTCGTGTGGCCACTAGTGTCCCAACACTCTTGGTATTTACTCCCTCTTAGCTGGCATGGATGAATTTGGAACCCTGAAGCCTAAGCACACCCATGCCAAGACATCTTCCTGGAGAGAGTTCTCTTTGGGCTCTTGGCAGATTTATCCCTTCTACAGAACTCTGATCCTGACTCAAACTCACATGTCAAGATGTAAGCTCAGATTTCCAGCCTGGGTGAAGCAGCCTAGGCTTTGCCTGCCAGGAAATACCCTGCAGGAGAAGCTACTTCCACAGCTCCAACAGGCTTCTCCTGTCTCCCCTTGATTTGGTCTACACCTAGCACTGCAGTTGGACACCCACAGGCATGTGCTACCTAATTAGAGCAAGAGTCTTAAAACATTTTGTAGCTAATGACTTTTAAACACACTTTATAAAGCGGTGTTACTGGCTACAGGAGACTCATAATAACATTCCAGACATGTGCTACAGGTTTTAAGCACATTGCTTCATCCATAGCAACCCAAGGAATCATAACAATAAACATGTTTATCTCCTATGTGCCAGCCAATATTAGCTCCCTCTCTCTAGGGGTAAAGGTGACACTTCTTCTTCTTCTTTTTTTTTTTTTCAAATATAAGTGGTTCTGGGTTATAGGAAGTGCCCACAAAAAATACAAATAAAGAAAAACTTTAAGATAAGATGGGTATCACTGGCTTTTCAGTTCAAAAGATTGCACATTTAATAAAGTCCCAGATAAAGAGTGAAACAGAAAAATCAAACACAATCATACAAAGAACATTTAGTAAGTTCATCAATATCCGATCTAAAACCTGGTTACTTGATACTGCTCAGAATTAGGGTTCAGAGCAACCAGATGATTATTTTAGAATATCTTTTTCCCAGGATGTGTAAGACGGGGAGTGCAGAAACCATTAAACTCAGCTGAGGTCAGCCCCAATTATAGCAAGGGGCTTGTGTCTAATTGCAAAACTGCTATAGCAGGTCTTTGAGTACTATTTACTCACTGATAACATCCTCAAATGATCTGCAACACGCTAAGAGGATTTCTGGGGAAGCAACCGTGTGAATCTTTTGAATTCCTCAGTTTGAAGATAGGGATGGAGAAGCTTATGTCAGATAGTTTTAGCCACACAACAGAGAAGAAAAGGCAACATTAAAAGGCAAGAAAGACTACACAGAAAAGCTGCATAACCAAATATCGACCTGGCTCTCTAGGATCCCCCACTCCTTCTCTGAGAAGTTCCCTGCGCCCCAATTTGGGCTGGAGGAATGTTGTGGATTTATACCCCTGCTCCAATACTCATTAGCTGTGCAGCGAATTACTTAACTCTTTCCCTTGATTTGTCTGTCTCTAAGGTGGAGATCATATTCTCAGGGTCATGATGAGGATTAAATAAAAGAATAGATCAGCACCTGCCACTTAGTAAATAATAAACATTGGCCATTACGGCTGAGTGCGTGTTCCTGGCCTAGCCGAGCCATGCTGGAACCATATTTCTCTCCTGAGAATGTGGAACTGGGATCAAGCTGGTCATTCTGTATGGCTGGACTAGTAGCCAGAAACCTCAGCGTCGTGCTTTGAGGCCTACAGAGCAGAGAATGACAATCTCCACAGAAAGGAATAAACAGCCTCAGTGGGAGGAAGTCTCATTTGCCTGCCTTCCTACTCCTGTTTGTTTATTTAAAAGGCATTCTTTGTGCTTAGACTAAATACAGGGGTCCTCCCCACCACGTTTGCAGCCAAGAATCCTAAACAATACACCTACAGCTAGAAAAAAGGTGAAATCTGCTTTAGAAGGAAAAAGGATGAGAAACAGATTAAATTCTCTATTACTGTCAGAAGAAAAAGAGACTAAAATACAACAAAAGTGAATGGCCAAGACATTCTTTTGGTCTACTTAGGGTTAAGCATCTTTACCAAAAACTCCTTATCAGCCTGCTTCTTTTCCTTTTGATCCAGAGACATATGAAATTAGGCTTTATAGTAGAATTTTTGTGTATGTATTTTTTAAAAGGTCCATTATAGGTTCTTCAAGGGTGACATGCAGTAGTAGGCAGAAACCTTTATCAACGGGAATCTCTCACTACTTCAGAATTTTTAAACAAAAGAAAGGTCTGAATAGAGTAAGGATTATTTTTAACCCCTCTGAAGATTTTTCTCAAGTAGAAAACATGGTCTCTATTTTAATGACATTAAATAAAGTTTTAGCTAAGAAGGAAATTTTCGTAGCTTCAGCTATTTAATAAGCATAGACCAGAAATTTTCATCTCCCTCCCTCCATCCCTCCCTCCCTCATCCTTACTTACCAAATCACTAGCTTAGCAATAAAAACACTCCTTTCGCTGCTCTAGATGGAAAGAAAAAGGGATGTGAGGATCTAGGTCCTGATTCTAGGTTTCTTTAGCCCTGTACCAGTCACTTAACCTCCAGGATCCTGCAAACCAATTCCCTTCAATTGAGCAATTACCAAAGCTACGCAGGGTCTCATCTCTAGATTGTACTATTTGTGTTTAGTTTTGTGCCTCATATCAACTTTGATTGTACTTCTTGGAAGAATAGTGTGGCAAAATTAAAAAGAGAGTTTCAAAAAACAGAGCCCAATGTTGGAGGTTTCAACATTTAGCCTTTTGTGTCAGTAGCCAAGGACCCGCCTCCATCAGATACCCAGGGGGGTGGATAAAAGGGCACAGAACACAGGCCCTCTGTGTACCGCTGAGGCCCCGTCAACAGTAGCCCAAGTCTGGAATGTGCTCTGTGCAGTGAGGTGGGCGTACTCAATGTCACACAAATGACATTCTTGAAAGAGAACCTACCTGGGTTGAAATAAAAAATAATATTTAATAAGTCCTGGTCTCCCCACGTGATGGCATTCTTGTACTTCTGGTATAGAGGGTACAGCATGTTCTCCCAAGCCAAGCCCGTTGGAATCATGCTGTTCTGGAAAAGAGAAAACCATCAGCAGAACTGGAGCACAGCAAATGCATCTTACTTGCTGAGAAGCACGGCAGAGAGACTGGTTTTCTTTCCCTCCAACAGAGGAGCTGATCCGGCTTTTTTTTTTCTCTCTCTTCAGATTCCGAAGGGTGGTAATTAAGTGTTTTATTTTGTGATTTTATGGGAAATCCACAAAGTTTTCTTTTTTAGAATAGATTCACTTTCTTTCTCCTAAAACAAGCATAATGAGGCAAAGTATCTGAGGGAAAACAAGCACGACAAAAGTCCAGGTCTTGGAGGAAGAAACCTGACATTTACTAAGAGGCTGGGGAGCCCACACCTAACTGATGCCATCCACGGCATGGAACTGTAAGGTGTCCATGTCGGGCAGGTCCTGCTATCTTTGGGGCATAGGACAAAGCAAACACTAGGGTTGCAGATTACAGGTATGGATGCTGGGCAAATGGGAAGTCGTGGTTGGGCCTATGGTTTTTACTCAGAAAGTCCTGTACCAAAATAACCCCTTTGTTCAGTTTATTTCTTATCTAGAAAGTGAAGGGACAAACTACAGGTAGCAGGATTAAGGCATTATGGGAAAAACATATTTCCTCATCTTAAAACAATTGTTTGCTTTTAAAATGAAAGCGATCCCTTCATAGCCTAAGTATTCAATTGTTCTATATACATAACATTAAAAACAAAAAAAATTTCTTCCTCCATCTTCCTCCAAATCCCATACCCAATTTCCCCAGAAGCCCCTAACATGAACAATTAATTGTCTCTTAGGTATTCCTCTGGAGATTTCCAGTACCAGGGATCGAACTCAGGACCTTGTGCTTGTGAGGCAGGCACAGTGCCACTGAGCTAAATCCCTAGCCCCTCTGGAGATTTCGAAGACACAAAAGTGAGCGCATTCGAGCACTATGATATGTTTGTTGCACATACTTTTTTTTGTTTTGTCTTCATACCAGAGATTGAATTTGAGACCTTGTACTTGTGAGGCAGGTGGTAGAACCACTGAGCTAAATCCCTGGCCCTCCTTTTTCTGTTTTTTGAGAAAGGCTGTCACTTTGTAGCCCAGGCTGGCCTCAAATTTGAGGCAATCCTCCTGTCTCAGCCTCCCAAGTGCTGGGATTACAGGCATGAGCCACTACACCCAGTGTAAACTTTTCTCACTTAAAGTATTTTAAACATCTTATTGTCTCAATTATAGATTAACATATTCAGTTTTATTTATTTTTTTATTTATTTTTTGGTTGCTTGAGACAGGGTCTCACTATGTAGTTGAGACAGACCTGGAACTCACTATGTAGCCCAGGCTGGTCTCGAACTCACAGCGATCCTTTTGCCTCAGCCTCCCGAGTGCTGGGATCACAGGCATGCGCCACCACACCCAGCTACATATTCACTATTATTATTATTATTATTATTATTATTATTATTATTATTAATGTTGCTGCAGATCAAACCCAGGGCTATGCACAGTCTAGTCAAGTGCTCTACCACTAAGCTCCACGCTAGCCATGACTAACCTATTTTTAATATGAGGATAAATTTTTCTGACTAGTCCTCCACTGATGTTCATTTAGGCTCTTTCCATTTCTTTGCTAGGGTAAAAGATGAGACCATGAATACCCTTGTATAAATATCTCTGTGTACTTAGGTAAGTACATTTCTAAAGTACTTCCAAGAAATAATCTTTGCAGCCTTAGATATGCAGAGTTGAAACATTTTGGAATTCCACATAATATTCCTAAATGGTAACTCCAGAAGCTCCAGGATTTATTCCATAGCCATCTGGGCTTTTCCTGAACAAACAATATTGTGTAATTTTGTAAATGTCATCCCCTGGGTCCTTCCCTCCTCACATACAGACCCCCACTGGACTCTCCAAATCTACAAAATCAACCCTCCAGGCACACCCCTGTGGGAAGGACTTACACAAGGAACTTTGAAGCATTTCGGTACCTTGAACTGGGTGCTTCTTATCCGAGTTAAATTCATCAACATGACTCCCGAGTTGACGCCCGCAGGACCGTAGAAAGGATGCCGGGCAAAGCGGCTGTACCAGCCGATCTTCGGGACTTCGTGCTCAGGGGCCATGGCCGCAAGCTGTGTAGAATTAAACTGCCCCAGAAGCTTCCAGATGTCATCAACAGGTCTCAGAAAGAGAACGTCAGTGTCCACATAGAGAAGGGAGTCCACATCCTTTAAAATCACCTTTGTGTGCAAGGTGTGGTGACAAAGCAAAAAACAGGTCAGAAACAAAGAAACTGGCCTGATGTGAAAACAACACCACCAATGTTCCATGATTTAAGGTTCAGTTATAGAAAGGAAGCCATGGTTAGCTCCCATTCTCCCTTCTTTGATTGGAGACACAAGTGTCAATCAAGAAGTACAGACTTAAAAATAAATCTTGATCTAAATTGGCCCAGGATCCTGGACTATGCTTGATACAGGTCAAACTTTCAAGGGGGATGCAATTGCTCTCTCTTCTTCCATCCTCGAGGATGGCCCCCTGTCTTCTTTTTTGGTTTGTCCTTGGGACAGCCAGACATTAGAAGATTTGAAGTGTACTCTCTCGAAGCCAGTTTACGTTGGGTTGGCACCCATTTCTTCTAGTGTTGATGGGGATGGCTGTGCATCTTTCTAAAATGGCATTTTAAGCTAAGATTTGGACTTGGGAACAGGCAGATTTGTAGACCAGAGATTGGAAAACTACTTTTTCCCATGAAGGGCCAGACATTGAATATTTTCAGCTTCAGTGCAATTACCCGAGAGCTGCTGTAGCGTGCAACAAGCACTGGAGACCTGCGTGAGAGTGAGGGGCTCGGCTCCAACGAACTGCCCTTAGGGACACTGAGATGCAAAGTTTATATCATTTTCAGATGTCCCAAAAATGCTCTTTTGATTTTTTTTAAACAGCTATTTGAAATGTAAAAGGCATTCTCTGCTGGCAGGGTTCAGTCTGCCCATCAGGCTGGCCCAGATCACTTCAGTCAGCCTCCTAGGAAGCGGGTGCCTACTTAGCTGCAGGCTTCCACCACTTTACTTTGCCCTGTGTCTGATAACGCAAGCTCTGATCTACTCATCTTATTCACCTCTTTCAGCCTTTCTTCACCAAACATAGAAGTAGCTTCACCAAGGAAGGGATCAAATCTTCCTAGGTCCCTGGCCTCACATCCTGCTGACACGGTATGAACACACGTTATGAACACACGTTATGAACTGTTTGTGTTCCTTCCGGTTCATAAACTGAAGTCCTGACTTGGAAAGTGAGAGCATTTGGGCCTGGGGCCTTCAGAAGACAATGAGGTTTGGGTGAGGTCCTGAGGGTGGGGCCCTCAGGACGGTGTTAGTGCCTGTGTAAGAAGAGGCACCACAGAGCTTTCTCTCTCTGCCAAGCAAGGTCACAGTAGGTACGCGGCCATGGGCAAGCCAAGAAGAGAGCCCTTACCTGACCCTAGCCTGCCAACACCTAGATCTCAGGCTGTCCACTTCCATGAAGTAATTTTTTGTTGTTGTTTAACCCATCCTGTCTATTTTATTTTATTACAGCAAGCTGAACAGATGAAGACAATCCTTCATTGGATAGCGGACTAAGATAAATACTTCATTGAGATGCTCAATATTTAAACTGATGGTAGGGCCGGGGATTTAGCTTAGTGGTTTGGCTGCCTGCCTCACAAGCGCAAGGTCCTGAGTTCAATCCCAGTAATGAAAAACAGAAACCAAACCAAAACAAAACTGATGAACACAGGTACCATATCCTACAGGGATCACAGGGTGCCAGACTAATTTAAAGCCTACAGGACTGGCTACAGGGTTTACCTTTCTTTCCTTAGCCAATATAGGAATGGATTTTATAGATCAATAAAATGAAATAAAAAATAATGACTATCTTAAAATAAAAAAATGTGAGATAATGAAAAGATGAAAATAAAGTGTTTGTAAATGGGGAGAGGAGGAGGGGGTGAAGGGAGGGCAGGGGTAAGGGGAAAAAATGAGAATCAAGACTTGTCATGTAGAGGTACAAGATCCCAACAATGAATGTAACTGTATCCCTAAAATGTACCAATAAACTCAATTAAAGCTTAAAAAAAAAGAAAAAAAATAATGACCATCAATCATTTCATTTAAAAAATTATCCTTTTTTTTTTTTTTTCTTTCTGTAGTGGTACTGAGGATTGAATCCAGGGCCTTTACACTGAGGTTCAACACCAGCCCTTTTCAAATTTTTTACTTTGAGGCTAAACTGCTTGAACTGCCTTTGAACTTTGCCATTCTGCTTTGCCACCCCCACTCCCAACCAAGTGCTGGGATTATAGGCAGGTTCCACGGCACCCAACTAAGAAATTACCTTGGCATCCGTTTTAACAACTCAAAAGATCTTAATTTCAGAATTAGGATGAATTCTTTAATTGAACACATGAACTTTAAAAAGAATTTACCACTTTTTTTCTTGTCTTGTCATAGAAAAGTACTAACTTTGTCAAAGACAGCTAAATGCACTTGGAATTGTTTCTGCAATCTCTATTCTAGTCCATTGAGCCTTACGATGCAAGGGAAAATGTAACTCCCAACCTGCTAGATGTCAGATGCACCCATGCACCCAGTTCATTTCCCCGAAGTCAAAGAATGAATTCCAAGGAACGCTGGAGGTTAAGAACAGGAAAATGTACCAGGGAATAGGAACGGCTCCTTAGAGACAGAAGGGGACCCAACTGGGTTGCCAACAAATGTACTTCTCTGAGAAAGTTTTAAAGAGCAAGATCAAGATCATGAGGTGAGTACAACATGGGTCAAAACTATGATCAACCAATAAGGTTATAAGAATAGCCACTTGGCTAATATTGATCATATAGTAGCAAGGGCATATGGACGACATCAGTAACCTTGACTATAATCTGTAGTCTAAGTCTTATCTTTAGTCTTTTTTGCGGGGGCAGGGATTGAATTTAGGACCTTGTGCTTGCAAAGTAGGTGTGATGCTACTGAGCTACCACCCCGATCCATTATCCATTAGTCTTTTTCTTTTTTTGGTACCAGGGATCGAACTCAGGACTTTGTGCTTGTGAGGCAGGCGGCAGAACCACTGAGCTAAATCCCCACCCCTATGCTGCTGGCATTTTGATTGGGATTGAATTAAATCTTTATATCAATTCTGGAAGTATGGCTATTATTACTATATTTGTTCTGCCTATCCAGAAACAGGATATCCTTTCATTATCTAATGTTCTCTTCAATTTTTTTTTTCTCAGAGTATTGTGTAGTTTCCAGTTCCTAGGTATTTAGTTTTTCTTAGTGCTATTGTGAATTTCTTTCTCAGTGGGTTCATTATTGGTATACATGAACATTACTTTTTGTGTGTTTTTATATTCTGCTATACTACTGAATCTGGTTATTAATTCTGGGTCTTTTGGTGGACTTTGGGGGATCTTTTATGTAGAGGATCATGTCAACTGCAAATAATGATGATTTGAATTCGTCTTTTCCGATATATATATCTATATATATCTATCTATCTATATATATATATAGATAGATAGATATATATAGATATATATATCGGAAAAGACGAATTCAAATCATCATTATTTGCAGTTGACATGATCCTCTACATAAAAGATCCCCCAAAGTCCACCAAAAGACCCAGAATTAATAACCAGATTCAGTAGTATAGATAATGTTTTGAGCTCTGAGTTAAAGAGTAGTGATAGAGGGCATTCTCATCTTGTTTCTGATTTTAGAAGGAAAACTTTTTTTCCCCACCTAATATGATATTTGCAGTAGGTTTGTCACAAATAGCTTTTATCAGATTGACTAAAAAGAAATTTCTAAGCATAAAATATTCCTTTTCTTTTTAATAGTAAGTGTGTACATGATTCAAAAACTAATATAAATTTACTGATAAGTTAGGTCCTTGTCTGTCAGTAATCAGGACCCTTCCTTAAGATAGCTAATATCCTTGGACTACTTTGCAGTATGCCCAGGGTATTTTTGCATACAAGAATAGTTATGCATATGGAATTCCCTTTTTTATGTGCACAATGCCATCAGTCTAATCCACTTGGTTTGCTTTTCTTTTTTGGTACCAGGGATTGAACCAAGAGCCCCTGCTCTTGCAGGACAGGTGGTGGAACCACTGAGCTAAATGCCCTGCCCTGCTTGTTTTCTTTTAAACCACTTGTAAGAGATACTCCCACATCAGTACACAGAGATTTTCCTTGTCATCTTTATGCCTACATAATATTCAATTATATGTATCTATCAAAATTTATCCACCCACCCACTGCCAACCATTCAGACTGCTCTTAAACTCTTGCCTTAACAAACAATGTCACAACAAAAAACCTCCTTATTCTATTTTTTGCTTTTACTATTTAATTTTACTTTTTATTAGTACTTCTTTTCAGTACATAACATTTACATTCCTTATGTGGAGTTCGTACATGTACACAACACATCTCAATTCCCTTTTTAATCCCTTTCCTTTCCTTCCCTCCCTTGCTCTCCTTCACCTCAGAGAAAGATCTATCTCCCTACTTCCTATTTTTAACTTTTATTTTGTTCCTTATCATTTTGGTTTCTCATATAGAAAAGTCACGTAATAACTAAGCCTGTGTGTGTCTGATTTGCTTCATTTAACTTTATGGTCTCGAGGTGCATCCATTTTCTTATAAATGACTCACTTATCTTTCTTTATGGCAGAGTAGTACTCCATGGTGCATAAATACCACATTTTCCTTATCCATTCATCTGTTGATGGACATAGAGACTGCTTCCAAGATTTAGCTATTATGGATTATGCTGCTATAAACATGGGTGTGCATGGATCACTGCAATATGATGTCTTTAAGTCTTTTGGGAAGATGCCTAGAATACACCTGAATGTAAAAATATAATTACTGAGCCAAAAGGAATTGTTAAAAACATAATATAAATATATAATTACCAAGTCCCAAAATACATGTATTGTGAATTGATGGGTAGTCAAAATCTACCCCCAGAAGGTACCCACATGGACTTTCTCCAGCAGTGTAAGGGACAGCCTCTGACCCGTTGCCCTCACCAGCACGGGGAGTGCCTGTGCTCCAGTGTTTTCTAACAGAGGTGTACCAGAGTGGCCTAGCCTGGGCTCATTTCAGCTAACTCCTGACAATCTTTCCCTGGCAGTCTGGTCTGGGCTGTAGCAGTGTGGCTGGAGGTGGCACAAGGCT